GCTTCTCACGGAACGTTTCGTTGTTAGTGACCCGATTCCTAGTGGTACATGTTATGTTTGCCTTTCGCAATATCCTCTCTTTGGCATCCCTGCCCACAAATACACCTTCATATATTACCACAGGTACGTGTTGACGGAAGAGGGAGACAAAACTTGGTTATGAGACGGATCACGTGTTTCTTTATTTACCCGCAGCACTAGGTGGTAATCAACGTGCAACTGGCATCACTTCTAATCTATAAAGAATTATACGAATGCACACTAGAATGTGCTTTTCTCCATTCTGTATTATTTTAACACATTGTTTACAACTATCTGTAAACGTCCTGCGTACTGGTGACGCCATTTTGTTTTTCTAAGCTGTCGTCACTTATATTGTAGCTAAAACGTACGACGTGACCCGTGTCGACTTGGTGTATCTCGGATATTGTTCTACCGTGACAACCAAAATGGGCCGAACCCGTGTATTCATGGTTCGTGTTCCGTTGCCTCGAAAACTCGCTCCGCTCTTTAGGGCGGTTGGTACGCTATAAATGTGACCCTACTATTCGATCGAATAAGAGTTTTAAAGAGCTGACGGTGGGTGTTTTTGACTAGCTGCCATCACTCTAGTCTGTCAATTAAACATTATGGATGGCTATCCGCGGATAGCCCTTTGTATAGTGTTGTGCGAAAATTATGAAAAAAATAAACATAACCAAAAGCCCAGCGGTGTTAGGGGTGTGAGGAATACACCTCTCTCAGGGTAGGTATTCCAAAATTTAGCAAGACAAGATACGTAGTGTGGGTGATGCCCCGGCTTATTGTAAGAACTACCTGGCAATATACCATCATCGTTTTAATTGCAGACAAACGTTATCTGGCATTTCCAGATTGATGAATTGAATACCGCCTTTACTTTGCATTAGTTCCCCCTTTTCTGCTTTGTCCTTGAAACGCCCATGTCATTTCTTTAGTTATTTATGTTGCTTGATTAGAACCTGTCAGACGAGAGCAGCAGACATAACACCCTTGCATTTTTTACTGAATAGTCACCATTTTCATGTGTTCGGTAGACAAGGCCACAGCTGGACCAACATTTTATCACAGTAACTTTAACTTGCATTGTTTCTAGGTAAATAGGCTTAATAAGCCAAAACTTGCGAGTTGGAGACTTTACCGCGTCTCTGAATCCCCTTTAATTCCAAAAATTACCACCTTTTAAATAATGTACACACATTTTTTTATATTCTTTGTATTGCTATGGTTTGGATCGTTTGGATCAAAGCGTGAAGGGTTACACTCATGTAAAACACCGATTGTTATTAGACGATTATAAAATATCCAGCTTTACCAATAGATAGTAGGCAAGCAACGATTTATAAGCATAAGGAAATGTTTCATTGATGTAGATCATATTACATGTCTGTCTTCTTCAAGACTACCGAAGGCGCTCAGAAACAACCGCTTCTCTTCGCCCCACTCGTGGTGGTGGGGGATTATACTATCAGGTGTATGATACGTCATGGTGTGATCAGTTCTAAACAATACAAGGTTTATATATATCGTTACAAAGACAAAAGTGACAGAAACGGTGTCAGCTGGTGACAGGATGTAGGTAAAGGTCAAGTGTACGAACGATGAATAGACCTTGTCAAAGAGGGTTGATGTTGCTATAGGGCCATTATCACGGTTTAGTGAAACCGATTGTTGTCGTCTTTGTAACGATATATAAACCTTGTATTGTTTAATACAGATCATACCTGTCTTTGTAACGATATATAAACCTTGTGTTGTTTAATACAGATCATACCTGTCTTTGTAACGATATATAAACCGTGTATTGTTTAATACAGATCATACCTGTCTTTGTAACGATATATAAACCTTGTATTGTTTAATACAGATCATACCTGTCTTTGTAACGATATACAAACCTTGTATTGTTTAATACAGATAATACCTGTCTTTGTAACGATATATAAACCTTGTATTGTTTCATACAGATAATACCTGTCTTTGTAACGATATATAAACCTTGTATTGTTTAATACAGATAATACCTGTCTTTGTAACGATATATAAACCTTGTATTGTTTAATACAGATAATACCTGTCTTTGTAACGATATATAAACCTT